CCTGTAGTCCCAGCTACTTGGGAGGCTGAGGCAAGAGAATTGCTTAAGCCCAAGAGTTGGAGGTTGCTGTGAGCTGTGACACCATCACACTCTACCAAGGGCGACACAGGTAGATTCTGTCTCAAAAAAAAAAAAAAAAAAAAGAAAGAAAAGAAAAGAAAAGAAATAATAAGAGAAGAACTTTTTATATACCCAGGTGAAGAAACAGATGTAGAGATGTGGTTTGTTTCCAAATACAGTTGATTTGTCAAAGGCGAGTTTCAAACCCAGTGAATCTATCGTCAGACCTTGGCTCCAAACTCCTACTTGGGCTTAGGCCAAACCCAACACTGAGCCCTTGTTCCTTTAAGTTTGTGGGGAAGAATGCACTGTCTGGGCCGACAGCAGGGATGCCAGGACGTTCCCGCCTCCCCTAGGGAAGAGGAGGAAGATGTAGATTATCCCTAGCTCTGGCTTTGAAGCCTGGAGTCTAAATCCAGTTCCAGCTCAGTGAGGTGTTGTGTGACCTTTGGCTTGTCAGGCTCCAGTTTTTCGGGATATCAAGTAGGTACTGGAGGCAGTTAGGAGGCAGGCAGGCGGTAGGAGCGTGCACACGTCTCCGCGAGCAGAACCTTGGATACGGTGACTCCGGAAAACGACTGCACCGCCGGAGCGGAGAACCTGACGGACCCAAGGGGCGGGGCGCGGCGGGGCGGGGGGCGGAGGCGCCGCGTAGGCCCGGGAGGCCGGGCTGGCGGGGCTGGGAGCTCAAGCCCCATGCGCCGCTGCCTCCCCCTACGATGTTCCCCTCGCGGAGGAAAGCGGCGCAGTTGCCCTGGGAGGACGGCAGGTGAGCGGAGGCTGCTGGCCCAGGCCCTGTCCTCCTGGGTGCTGCTCCTTTCCGGGCCGCCCGCGGAATCTGAGAGCTGGAGACTGTCGCGTCTCCGTTACTGCGGGTCTCCGTCAGGGTCTGTGGTTCTCCCTGTGGGTCACTGGCGCTGTCTGTATGGGTCTCTGTTTCTACCAGTCTCCATCACTCTCTTTCTCCATTCACCTGCTTTGGTGATTTTCTGTTCCTCTCTTTGCCAGTCTCTCGTGCATTTCCTTGTGTTCTTCACTGTTCTCTATCTTCATGCTGGTCAGATTCTCCTGACCTCTCACAGTGGATCTCTATCTTTCTGTCTGTCCCTGGTCTCTGAAGCTCTTTATTCCGTATCTCTATTTTCTGCCTCACCCATCATATCCATGTAACCTCAGAGTTTGACCTCCCCTCGTGCTTCCCCATCCTTCTCACCCCACCCGGAAGAATCCACCAGATAGAAGCTCCGTAGGCTCTGCCTGGCTGGCCACTGCCAGTCACGTACTTGGCACTTGTCATACATGCAGTAGTTCATTTCCTGTGCAGCTGTATTAGTTTTATGTGTAAGGTGTGGGCTATGCCCAGACCTTAGCTGAGTGTATTTCCCGTTAAAACAGAATGAGAGAAGCAATTTGGCTGTCTGGATTTGGGAGGAACACCAACACTCTAGGCTTGAGATGTGCCCCCCAAAGTCTTCTGACATAGAACACATGACAGTGGACCTCCAGCCAGTGAATGATGCCTCATTTCCATTTTATCTTGTTAAATTTTCCCAGTGCCATAAGAGTCTGGAATTTAATGGGCATAACCCTTTACTCCTGGGAACTTTTCAGAGTTGGTGTTGAAATTAGAAGACAGGAATGTAATAGAAAGCACAGACTATGGAATCAGGCCTGGGCAGGAATCCTCTTTAATAATTAATGTAACCAGAAACAGATCACTTAATCTTTCTGACCTCAGCCTTTCCATCTCTGTAACAGTGATCATACTATCAACTCTGCAGGGCTGTATGAGGATTAATGGAGAACATTATATGTAAAATCCTTGCCACTGTGCCTGGCACAGAAGAGGTGCCAGTTTTCTTCCAGTTACTTTTGCAGTTTTGAGGTGCTAGAACCAAAACTGAGTTTTTAAACCTTGTACTATTAAGGTTTATATGAGAGAAGAAAGAAAAAGTAATAGAGGTGGATTTCTATTTCCTGATCTCTTTCCATGACTTTGTTCCCAGAAAAATTTACTGATGTGACTTCTGTGCTTTTGACACAGGGGTACTAAGATCCATACAACAGATACAAGCTAGCAGTTATGTGCAAGCTCTGGAGTCAGACTGCCTGGGTTGGAATCCACCTTTTACTAGCATTGATCAATAATCGATGCAGGAGACAAAGCCTCATCTGGACTATTCAGAACCAGGTTGGCCTGGGAGCAACTGGATTGCAGATATGGAGTTTGCCACTAGGTGGCACCAGGAGTAACTGTTCACTGTCCTGAGGAATTGGGACTCTGGGCTCAACTCAGTAGCTCAGTGGTTTGTGCTCATAGGACACAGGATGAGAATGCTCCTGGGGACATGATCCTGGTAGGAAGGCGAAGCAGCCCTGAGGAAATAGCATGAAAAAGTATGTGGAATGCCAATCCACTCTGTACCCCTGGATAACAGTCACTGCTTCTTTTCCCAAAGGTGGGATATTACCCTTTGTCCGTCTCCCCAGTCTCTATCCTACATCCAGAAAAAGCCCAGAGAGCCAGGGAGAATCTGTAGAGGTTGCATCCTTCCTAGACCACTTGCAAAACTGGGCTTTGCTCCTCCCCTGCAGAAACCACGACCCCAGGATAGTGGGGGGTAAGTCAGAAGCACTATGAGGGTGTTCTGCTGTGCCACCTCTCAGCTGCATGTGGAAACTGGGCCTGGCTTCAGAGCTTCTGGCTTCCAGGTTGGCAGTTGTGTCTCTAGAGAAAGGTAGGAGTTGGTCTGGCCTTAGTGTGTGACTTAAAGCATGCTCTGAATGCTTTAACCCTTCCCTTAACTCATTTAGCCAGCCCTCTGCTGTCTGACCTGTGCTGAGGCCATAGATGTGAATCTGACATGGTGTGGCAAGCATTACAAATAAATGCTTTAAACAGGGAAGTAAGATGCCATGGAAACACAAAGGAGGGGGCATGGTGGAGTTAAGAGGCAATGCTGGCTGTGATATTGGAGTTTGACTCTGAAGGATCAACAGGGGGCTTCCAGGCAGAAAAAATAAAGGACATTTCAGGCAGAAGGAGCAGACTATGAGGGCTGTAATAGTAAGGAATATAGTGAGTGGAGAAGCTCTGAGTCTCCCAGGGTGACTTGGGAGCTTGGGAGCAACTGGAGATGGGTTTTAGAGTTTGGTCTTTACCTTGTAAACCGAGGATGATCATTTAGAAGGTTGAGGCAGTCTGAGTAGGGCAAGGAACAGAGAGTGAGGAAAGATCAAAGGGAGACTTAGGAGAATGAATCTATAAGTCCTAGTAGCTAATGCTGACTCTTAGAGGTTGTGAAGTAGATTCCTTTGCCTATTATTTCAGGGAGCGGCTGCAAGGGGAGTACAGAGGAGGCTTCTTTCTTCTTGGATTCCTCAGCTCCTCTCTCATCATAGGCATAGAGGCATCCAGTGAATTCCACCCATTTCTTTGTATGTGCCAATCAAAAGGGCAGTCTCCAATTATCATCCCTGTGTCTAAGATGTTCAGCTATTTTTCCAGTCTCCAAAATGAACCTGATTGCTGTACCCAGCCATCATCTTTCTCTCTTCTGTCTTTCATTCCATCACATGAGCTGCCTTGAGACTCATTAGTGAATTAGTGCTGTCAGATTGGGCCTTGCATTGCTTTGGGGCAGGTCTGATTCCCCAGAGAATCAGTTTTTGCCTGGGACCAATGGCAGTGTACATCCCTATCTGCTCTGCCTCAGAAGCAGGAAGCAGGATGAAGCCAAAGTTACTGCTGGGGTGCAGATTTGGAGCTCTAAGGTGGGACTCCTGCCATTGGATCAGGACATGGAGCCACTGTTTTGAGGAGGGCAAGTGCAAGGCCCTCCCTTGAGCACCTTACCGTCTACCAGGATTTACTCACAGAAAGTAAGAGAACATAGAGGGACTGGGGTAGCTCAGTGACTAGAAGAGGTCAGAAGGGTTCCCAGAGTGTGGATGGCATGAGTGGGTCTTGAGAGTAGGCTGGGTTCTGATGTGTGGTGGTAGCATGAGCAAAAACATTAAAGTTGCTTCTGCACTAATTTCCAGGTGCTTGGGGTAAACCAGTTGTGTGTACCCTACCTGTGGGGAGACCAGAGAAGAGTCTGTAAGAGGGCCCTAGCTCAGCCTGCCCTTCTGACCTGGTCCCTGCTCTTGCCCCAGGTCCAAGTTGCTCCCCGGCGGCCTACCCAGGAAATGCTCCGTCTTCCACCTCTTCGTTGCCTGTCTCTTATTGGGCTTCTTCTCCCTACTCTGGCTGCAGCTCAGCTGCTCTGGTGATGTGGCCCAGGCAGCCAGGGGACAAGGGCAGGAAACCTCAGGACCACCCCGGGCTTGCCCCCCAGAGCCACCGCCTGAGCACTGGGAAGAAGATGCGTCATGGGGCCCCCACCGCCTGGCAGTGCTGGTGCCCTTCCGTGAGCGCTTCGAGGAGCTGCTGGTGTTTGTGCCCCACATGCACCGCTTCCTGAGCAGGAAGAAGATCCAGCACCACATCTATGTGCTGAACCAGGTGGATCATTTCAGGTTGGGATACACCCCTCAGGGCCTGCTTCCTTTCCTGCCCCAGAGGTCTATGAGGGACCACCTGGGGCAGTGGCAGAAAGGCAGGAGGTAGTAGAAACTCCTGCTGAATGTGGTGGGAATCTTTGGGTGGTGGGGGTGGGGGTGGGGTGGGGAGGTAGTGCTGATCTAATTTCCATTTTATAAAATCCCTCTGGTTGCCAGATGAGAAATAGGTTGTCTCCAGGACAAGAGGAGAGGTGGCTGAGGAGACAGTAGAAGCCGGTGGAGAGAAGTGATGGGGTGGAAGCATGGATAGGCCTCGCTGGGGATTGCCCAAGGGTTAGGAAAAGGAAGAGTTGAGGCCATGGCTTAAAGCCACCCACAGCCGAATGTTATCCTAAAATCCTCACCCTTACAACAAACCGCTCTCCTCTGTGACCACAATCTAAGCACTTTACCCTTCAGCCTACTCCTCTTTTCCCCTTTCCCTTCAACCCTTTCTGCTGGAAGATGACTCCAGCAATTAATTCCCAGCCTTCCCTGCCCCCCTCCCCCCCATCCTCACACCTTTTTGCCATCACTCTTCTTTCCTTCTCACCTAATCAGGAGTCCTGGTCTGTTATGGAAAGCACTCCTTATGTATACCTCAGCTTTGGCCCCTTTGTAGCTGGCATAGATCTGACTCTGTCTGCTCCACACCTCACTAGAATAGCCACACCACCCACCTCCCTGTGATAAGCCCCACCTGGGCAGGCCCTCGTCCTGCTGGAGGCCTTGCATTCCTCAGTCTGTCCATGGCAGTCTTTAAACCTTCTCCCCTTCTTATCCCTCCCTGTCCTCACTCTGAACTGATGACTTTGCTTCTGATTGAAGAAAATGGCAGAGAACTTTCCCCAGTCCCCACATCTCCCCCCACCTCCCAGCTTCTGTGTGTGGGGATTGAGCTGTTCCAGCTCCTCCCTGGCTGACTCCTCTACTCTGGCTGTAGTCCTCTCCCCTTCCCTCCCACAGCACATACCATACTGAGATGGTTTTCCTCTAAAAAGACTCCCTTGAGCCCATCTATCCCATAGCTATCACTCCACTTCCCCATTCTCCTCTGTGGCAAAATTCCTTCCCTGTCTCTCCCCTTGTTTTCTCTTAAACCTCTTCCACTCAGATGCCTACCCCCATCATGATGCTGAAAGAGCTCTCATTCAAGTCACTGAGGTCCCCACTTCATTAATCCAAAAGTCTCAGCCTTCATCTGTGGACTTGTCAGTGGCGTTTACTTCTTCCTTCTTAAAGCCACCCCACTTGATGTCTAGAACTGCACTTAAAGTACCCCACTTGATGTCTAGAACCGCACATTAGCCACCCCATCTCACCTCCTTTGTTGGTTCTGCCTCATCTCCCTGATCTCCCACCATTGGCACCTCTCCCTTTCTAGCTACAGTCACTCCCTGGGGGAGCTTGTCTCATCTCGTGGCACTGAGTCCTGTCTCTGTTGTGATGACTCCTGGGTCTGTGTTCCTAGGCTGGGCCTCTCTCCTGAATGCAGGCTGTCTAGCCTAGCCACCTATGGAGCCCTCCATGGGTGGCCTCAAAGGTTTTGTGAGCTTGCTGTGATCGTAGCTGAGGGTCCACACCTCCCAGACCTGCTGCCCTGCCCTGTTGCCCATCTCAGGAATGAAAGCCTGGGGCTTCTAGTCACTCAGGTCAAAAAACCCTGTAGTTGTCTTAGACTGCTCTTCCCTGTCACACACATATCCACTCCATCAACAGAGTGCTTCTAGAGTTTGCCAACTTTTCACCATTGCCACTGCTGCTTCACATGCTGGGCTACCATCATCTCTTGCCTAAATCATTATCATGGCCTCCCACCAGTGTTCATGTTCATGCTTCTAACCCTGCCCTGACACTCACTAGTATGGTTCTGTTCACACATAAGTCCCAGCACACTCTGCCCCTGCTCAGAGTGCAGCAGAGCTCACCCAGGGTCAGCCCAGGCCTCCAGTGGCCCACTGGCTTGGAGCAGTCACCAGTCACCCTGACCTGATCCCCTCTGGCCCCTTGCTCTGTCTGGCCACATGTTATCTGCTACTTCCTCAGGTTGTGCAGTGCTGCTTCTGCTGCTTGGAGACTTGTGCTCATTTCCTCAGGCCTTCTTGTTTCTTCCTGGATGTCCCATTACCTTGGACCTCTCTGATAGCCCTGTCTAGTGGCAGAGCTGCCCTGACCCCAGCAGTGTCCCTCTCCTCCCTTGCTTTACTTTTCTCCACAGCTCTGACCACTGCCTGCCTTACTCTGTGTTACCTGTGTGCTTTTGTCTCCTTTTACACCTGGTAGATAGAATGCCAGTTCCTAAGAGCAGTGCCTGGTTGCTTCACTACTGTATCTGCAGTGCTTTGGGAGGTTCTGGCACACAGAAGGTGCTCAATAAACATTTTTATAATGAGTGGAGGGGAAGTCTGAGCCGGGCTGGAGGATAGCAGAGACACCACGGGGCCTCAGGGTGGGTGGTGGAGGAGAGACACCCATGCAGGGCTCTGCGCCCCTGCCCAACCTTGGCTGCCCTGCGCAGGTTCAACCGGGCAGCACTCATCAACGTGGGCTTCTTGGAGAGCAGCAACAGTACAGACTACATTGCCATGCACGACGTGGATCTGCTCCCTCTCAACGAGGAGCTGGACTACGGCTTCCCTGAGGCTGGGCCTTTTCATGTGGCCTCCCCTGAGCTCCACCCGCTCTACCACTACAAGACCTATGTTGGTGGCATCCTGTTGCTCTCCAAGCAGCACTACCAGCTGGTGAGGCCTGGCCTAGCCTTGTCTGCTCAGTCTGGGAGGTGGTTGGCAGATGGAGCAGTTTCTGGGGTCCAGGAAGCGGATCCTTGCCTGCCCTAGCAAGAGCAGCCAGAGACCAGAAAGGAGCAGGAGTGACAACCCAAAGCAGTAGCAGAGCCCTGTGCAGCCTGGCTCCAGAAAACTGGAGATTAATGACCCTCAGCAATGAAAAGTGTGGGCAGGGTAGGGGGAGGGTTTGGCCCCAGGTTTAACGTGCTCACCTCTCAGATAGTGTCACCAGGACTCCATTTCTCTGTCCACCTCTCAGTTCTGCCTTCCCTGTATTAGGTTTATTTTCAGATGTGCAGGATACAAGGTGGCTGTCATAGCTACAGCCTGTATCTATCAGGGCTCCAGTCTGGTGGAAGATGGAGCCCCCTTCCATAGCAGCCCAGATGGGACTATCAAGATTCGTCTCTACTGGATCTTAATCAGTCCACCTTGAGTCCTGGGTCCATCCTGGAATTAGTCACTGGCTGGAGGGTCAGTGGAAGGGAAGAACCAGGTGGTGTAGGCCCCTCTTCTCTTCAAGTTGTGTTAGAAGCCAGCCCTATGTAAGTGAAGCCTTTGCACTGTCTGCCATAGGCCCAGCTGTCCCTCACACACAGCAACAGACTAGGGCAGCCTACCTAGAAGTATGGGGAAGACAGAAATAAATTGGGAGTTGGTGCTTTTACCCATTGACAGATCCTGAGAGAGGTGTACTCTGGACAGTGGGACACTTTTGAGGTGATCATCTCATACCAGTCCAAGGCCCCATTAGAATACAAAGAGAAACTGGTGTGTGCTAATTCCCTCCTGTCCTGTAGTGCTGCAGAGGCTGAGAGAGGTGCAGGTACCAAATGTGCATTCAGAACAGCCTGGGGAGGAGGTGGGTGGTCTGGGCACAGCTGAGAGGTAGGAGACCAAAGGGCACCACTGGGAGGACGGGGCCAATGACACTCCCTGTCTCTGTGTCAGTGCAATGGGATGTCCAACCGTTTCTGGGGCTGGGGCCGTGAGGATGATGAGTTCTACCGGCGCATTAAAGGAGCTGGGCTTCAGGTAAGGCTCCCCCAGGGCCCTGCTAGTAGTACCTCAGCCACCATGGCTGCCCTGAGGTTCTTTTCTTGTTCCTCAGATGAAGATCCTGGGGTTGTGGAGATTTTACCCTGGTTCTGATCACTGTTCCAACCCTGGACTTGCAGTGGTCTAGTTCCAGGACTTTGGACCTCAGTGTCCTATAATGCAGGGTGGGAACACAGGTCTCTGCCTATGGCTTCCTGGCAGGCAGTGGAACCTCAAGGGAGCTATTGGTAAGGGCCGGGGCTCCAGGAGGGGTGACCTGACCCCATCTTCCTTTGGCCTTCGTAGCTTTTCCGCCCCTCGGGAATCACAACTGGGTACAAGACATTTCGTCATCTGCACGACCCAGCCTGGCGGAAGAGGGACCAGAAGCGCATTGCAGCTCAAAAACAGGTGCTGGCTGGTCTCCTCATCGGGGACGGATAGGTGGTGATGTGGGGAATGAACAGGCCCGAGCATTTCACCAAGTTCTCCTTGGGCCCAAGCGGCTCTGTCTTCCCCTGCTTGGCCCAGGTCAGTCAACAGACATTGTGTTTGGGCACTGTGCCCTGCTCTGGTGGTTGCCCCAGGTACCTTGGGCACTGTGGGTCAGCCCGGGCCCCAGGGTCCATGCAGGCTGGCAGGGTAGGGTGGGGGAGGCACAGCTGAACATGCCAGAATCCCAGTCACACCGTGATGCAGGGACCCCTGTCCTTCCACTAGCTTCTCCAGGAGGCATGTCATCTGGCAGAAAACTCCCTGTCCTCCTGCTTACTGGCGGGGCATGGCCCTGAGTAGGAGACTTCACTTCCCTGAGCTTTGGGTTGAGGTCCCACACCTGTGATGACAAAGTTGTGTGGCTCAGTGACAGTGGGGTCCCATGGAGCCCTGAGTATATGCGCTCTCCTTTCATTCCCAGGAGCAATTCAAGGTGGACCGGGAGGGCGGCCTGAGCACTGTGAAGTACCGTGTGGATTCCCGCACCGCTCTGTCTGTGGGCGGGGCCCCCTGCACTGTTCTCAACATCATGCTGGACTGTGACAAAGCAGCCACTCCCTGGTGCACATTTGGCTGAGTTGGCTAGACAGTGAGGAAGCCTGTGCCTCCAGGCCACACTGCTGCTCAGGCTCAGGACATAGCCTCCAGCCCCAGGCCCTGCTCCTATGGGATGTGGAGTGGCCAGAGCAAGATAGTAAGCTACGCATTTATAGCAGCCCAGCTCCAGAGGACACATGGATTGCTTGGGATGCTGCTAGCAATGAACAGTGATCTAATAGGCTGGGGAGTGACTCCTAGGTGGGACTCTCCCCCTGCCTTCCCACTTGCCCTACTCTGTCCTACTGAGATCTGCAGGCAATGGGGAAAGTTGGACAGGACAACCTCTAACCAACCTCCTTTTTGTTCCTTCCCACTGGACCGCCTCAGACAGAGATGCCGTTTAGGAGCCCTGCAGCTGATGTAGATGGCAGTTTTGATTGGGAGCATTAGAATTCCAGAAACCAGAGCACAAGTCCCATGGAAGAAAGATAGCCAGTCCCAACTCTAGCTGGTTGTCACCGGGCAGGAATCTGGGTTTTGTGTTGGCAGATCTTCCGATTTTGTGAAAGAAAATAGGTGCTGGATTCTTAAGTGAAATCTTCTGATATTCAACTCAATGAAACTTACAAAAAGTATGGCAGGCCAAACAAATGTGTTATGGTCCACTGCTTTATTACTCTTGGCAGAGAGGAAGGGGCAGGGGCAAAGGATGATACCTCTCTTAGTTATGAGTTGGCAAGGAGTTGCAGAACAGCTAGGGGAAGGTCCAGGCGGGAAGGGAAGACAAAGGCATTAGATTTTGTACCCTTCAACTTCCCCAGGCTTCTGGCCAGCTTCCTTGGTGCCCCTCTGGGCCCACTGATGACCTTCTGCTCCACCCTGGGGTGGGCACTATATCCTGCCTCAATAAGATAGAGACAGGAAGGAGAGGTGCTAAAGAAATGGATCTGCAGGCCTGGACTTAGGGCAGACAGGATGTGTAGGTGATGCATCAGGCTCAGTGCAGGTGTGGGGTGGTGGTCCCTTGTTCTGAGGTGCAGGGATGAAGATGGAAAAGTAGGAGGATCCCTGGATGTTCCCAAAGCCTGAAGGCAGGTTCCTGGTGATAACTGGTTGCTGGTAGAGGTAAAGGAGAAGTAGCTAAAGGGAGCATGGAATTGGGGAGTACTCCTGGAAGAGTCACTTGGAAGAGAGCCCGGGACCCATGGAGTGGAGATGAGGGCCCTGCAAGGCAGACCACTCCTTCAAGGTGTTTGGCTGCCAATGATTTGGGGTGGAAGTCAGAGGAGACTCTCTGGGCCATTTAGGGTTGGTTGGTTTAGCACTGGGTTTAGCCCCTGTAGTGCTGGAGAAGGAAAGGATTGAGGTCCTAGAGTGTAGGAGGCCAGGAGTGATAGCTATGGTCCAAAAGACTCCTCTGAGGGTGAGCTCAGGGCTGCTATGTGCAGTTGTATGGGTTGTGTACTATACAATCTGTGTATAAGCTGAGAGACTTAAGCAGAGATGATGGGGGTAATTCTTCAGGCTCACCCACTGAGTGAGAGGTACACAGGCCTTGATTACATCGCAGGGTGCTGGAGATGGGAATGATGCTTTCTGTGTCTCAGTCTCCTGGGTGACCCAGCTGCCTCATCATGGACTCATACATAACGTGGGGCAATAACACCAGCTTCTTAGAGTTGGTGGGGATGGATGTCATTTCAAAGTCCCCAGCTTTGTACGCTTGTGGCACACAGGAAGACCTGAAAAATGGGTGGTTCTTTCCTCTCTCCCTGCACTGGGGGAGTGTGACAAGCAGAAGAAATGTGAAGATCTTTTTACCTCACAGAGCTCAGCCGGCAGCCTAGTCTCAGGCGCATGCTCCACCCTGTGCCCCTGTGCTCCTCCTGGCCCTGCCCCACCCATCTCTGAGGCTGCGCTGGATGCTCTCCAGTCTAGGCCTGATGCAGCCCAAATCTGTGCCCCCCACCCTCCATCCTGGGCCTCTGCTGCTGTCCAGGAGAGGGAGAAGTGGGCAGCCCACTGCTTCCTCAGTGCCTCTGCCTCACCCTATGGAATGGAACTAACATCCCCGCCTGGCTGGCCATGGTGTAGATCAAGAGAAGCCAGAACATAGGCACACCTAGCACAGTACTTGGCCAGTGTGGTGGGCGTGATAATAACAACTATCACTTGTTGAGCATTCCCCACATAGAAAATTCTTTACATTGCATTATTTCACTGAGGCCTCTCTCCCTAGGAAGCAGGTCCTATTTCCTAACCTGCTCTATAGATGAGGAAGGCAACTCCCAGAGGTAAGTAACTTGCTTCAGGCCACAGAGCTGGTAAATGGTAGAGCTTGATCAGAGCCAGATCCCTTCACTGCTGCTGCTTCCCCTTCAAGCCTTCCTCCTTTCCCCAGCCAGAGCGGGCCAGTGGGGAGGGCCAGGAAAAAAAAGGGCTACAGGGGAGTTGCAAAGTATCTGTCTCTTGACTCCTCGTTCTTGAAGAAGACAGGGATCTGGCTGCTGGAGAGGTCCTTTGGGTCTGACAAAACACTGACCAGGGTGTCAGTGGGACCCAGAGCATAACACTGTGACTGAGAGATGCACACAGTGTTTGAGAGAGGCTTCCCTAAGGAGACAAAGCCTTACTGGTGGGGGAGAGTTTGCCAGTCAGAATGGGAAGGGCTTCCAGAGGGACCAGCACATGCAAAGGCAGAGAAAGCATGTTGTGCTCAGGACTTGGGAGTAGTTCAGGGTCATCCTGGCACCCTGGTACTGTGCAGGAACAGTGGGCTGGGCAGCAGAGGGAGGGGTGGGGGGAATCCTAAGGATCTGTGAATGCCACACTAAGCAACTGGTACTTTATTCTAGTGATACAGGGTTTTTGAGGGTTTTCAAGAAGGGGAAAATTTTTGAGCTGTGTTAGATCTATGTTCTAGAAAGATCCTTTTGGGGCAGGATCTGGAGTGGACTGTAGGATGGAATCTTAGGAGAGGAGAGCCCAAATGAGAGATGATGAAGTCAGAACGGGGCAGCTAAGTGGGGTATGGCAGGACGGAGGTCTGCTGAGCCCCCAGAGTCTATGGAGCCATCAGCTTCCAGCCCTCCCTGGCCAGGATGAGAGCTACACCATTAGGCAGCAGGCTGGTGCCACTGCAGGCTGTTTCCCAAATAGATGTGACATCTCAGCTCTTAGGCCTTGAGAACACTTTTTAAAAAACAAAAAACAAAGGGAAAAGCAATTTTCATTTTCAGATCAACATATAAAGAGCTTGTAAGTCATCATTCCCATCCTTACAAGAAAAAAAGCTACCATGTACCTGGTCTCCATAAGAGGCCTACTCCCCAGGAAAAGAGACTATCAAAGGCTATCTCACCTAGGGGTTAAAATAAATACCCAACTCTGGCCACCTCTAGGCTTCATAACTTACCTGGAGGTGAGGATAAAGGTAAAGGTCATAAGCTAGGGACAGAGACCTGCTGAAAGACTGAGATTTAATTATAAAATTAGAAAATGCTTCCCCTTCTCTAAACCTTACCACATCATCAGGACTCTAGTGGAATTGGTAGATTATAGCTGAATGAACTAGGTGAAGACTATTTAAGAGAGTCCTAGGGAAACCCAAAGACAACAGGGAGGTAAAACTAAGGACAGTAGAGGAATTTAAAGCCTCTGGCACTTAAATTTATAGTAAACATTAAAACTAACCTAACTCCTCGGCTGGGTGCTATGGCTCACTCCTGTAATCCTAGCACTCTGCAAGGCCAAGGCAGGTAGATTGCTTGAGCTCAGGAGTTGGAGACCAGCCTGAGCAAGAGGGAGACTCCGTCTCTAATAAATAAATAAATAAATAAAATAAAACTAAACCCAACTCCTAACCAGATTAACATCAAACCTTACAGTAAAGGTCTGTTTATATCAGATTTACCCAATAAGTCATGCATTGCAAGTCATGCTAAAAGGCAAGGAAAACAAAGCAGAAGACACAAAGCAAGCATTCCTCCTCTGCCAGCAACATTTTAAATTTTTCTTTCCTTCTCCTCAAGCTGCTTTTCCCCCATTTTCCTGATGCCTCAGGTACAAGTGCCTGTCTTTTGGTAACAAATTTTGGCATCCTTGGTGGGCCCATTGGTACCCAGTGGAATGGTACTTAGGAATTGCTGGAAGAGGAAGGGAGCAGCCCCAGGTCAAAGCCGTGGGTGTTCCTGGGTCAGAGCAACTTCTTTGCCAAATGAGAAAGCAAGGGACAAACTCAGCAGTTGCTAGAGCCTGTTTAACTCCGGGGAACTCCCATCTCTGTCTCCCTGAAATAGACAAAGTTCCCATAACTTGAACTGAGTTTAGGAGAAGGAAACAGATTTGGAAAGTGTCCGGACACCAGGCCTTTTGTTGGATCTAGAAAGATATAGTTCTATGCTTCATATGGAACCAGAATAGCCAAGCCAGCCTTATGTAATAAGAACAAAGCAGGAGGCATTACTTTATCAGACCTTAAGCTATACTATAAGGCTATAGTAACCAAAATGGCATGGTACTGGCACAAAAACAGAGGCATATGCTACTATGGATCAGAACAGAGAACCCAGAAATGAAATCACTCTCATATTCCCATCTAATTTTTGACAAAACAAATAAAAACATACATTGGGGATAATAATCTCTATTCAATAAATGGTTCTGGAAAAACTGGATTGCCACATGTAATAGACTAAAACTGGATGCACACTTTTCACCACTCTCAAAAATTAACTCATAATGAATGAAAGACTTAAACCTAAGACAGCAAATTATAAGAATCCTAGAAAAAAATGTTGGAAAAACTCTTACAGATATCAGCCTAGGCAAATCATTCATGAAGAAAATCCTAAAAGCAATCACATCAATAACAAAAATAAATAAATGGGAACTGATTAAATTAAAAAGCTTCACAACTAAGGACATAATCAAAATGGCAAATAACCCATAGAATGGGAGAAAATATCTGCATGCTAATATCTGACAAAAGACTGATAACCAGAATCTACAAAAAACTCAAGCAAATCAATGGGAAAGAACCAAACAACTTCATTAAAAAGGCAAAAGGCTGGGTGCACTAGCTCACGCCTGTAATCTTAGCACTCTGGGAGGAGTTTGAGACCAACCTGAGCAAGAGTGAGACCCCATGTTTACTGAAAATAGAAAAACCATCTGGGTTTTATGTAATCCCGCTACTTGGGAGGCTGAGGCAAGAGGATTGTTTGAGCCCAGGAGTTGGAGGTTGCTGTGAGCTATGATGACACCACAACACTCTGAGTTAGACTCTGTCTTAAAAAAGAGAAAAGAAAAAGAAAATTATATGGAGATACCTGAAAAAACTTAAAGGAAACCAAATATTTGATTCAGCAATCTCACTGCAGGGTATACACCAAAAGGAAAAAAGGTCATTTTATTAAAAGGACACCTGCATGCAAATATACAGCAGCACAAGTCACAATTGCAAAGATGTGGAAACAACCCAAATGCCCATCAATATATGAATGGTTTAATAAAATGTGGTATTATGCATACTATGGAGTACATAGTATAAAAAATGGCGATCTATATCTTTTGTGACAAGCTGGATGGAACTGGAAACCATTCTTTAAAGTGAAACATCACAAGAATGGAGAAACAAACACATGTCACGTACTCAATACCAAACTGGAACTAAGTGATCAACACTTAAGTCTACATATGGAAGTAAATCTCAACGAAAAGCTACACATGGCTCGGTGCCTGTGGCTCAAGTGGCTAAGGCACCAGCCACATACACCTAAAGTGGTGGGTTCGAATCTAGCCTGGGCCCGCCAAACAACAATGACGGCTGCAACCAAAAATAGCCAGGCGCCTGTGGTCCCAGCTATTTGGGAGGCTGAGGCAGGAGACTCACTTGAGCCCAGGAGTTGGAGGTTGCTGTGAGCTGTGATGCCACAGCACTCTACCCAGGGGGACAGCTTGAGGCTCTGTCTCCAAAAAAAAAAAAATCAAGCTACGCATTTATGAACCAGGCCCTGTCACTCACAAATAAGACTTAGTTGTGGGCTCTGCAGGCTGTGATATTGGATTAGAAAGAAGTACTGTTTTGTCAAATAGGAGAGGTAACTATGTCGTTATCTGGTAGCTCAGCACTGGGTATTTCCTCCACTTAGGAAGGGAAAAAGATGACTTCCCCCCACCCCTCCCCCTGTCATGACCTCCTACTGTGTCCCTTCCTTCACTGAGCTTCACTACCATTCCAAAAAGTGTGTATGTGTACGCATACACACACACACCACCTATTTCTTTGCTCTCCCCACCATTAACTAGAATCTTTTTCTCCCTGCCTCATCCCAATACCAGCCCACTGAGCTCAGGACCTGGGGACTGGTTCACTGTCACATCCCAGCACCCAGAACTACTAGTGCCAGTGCCTACTGCCTACAAGGTACCCAGGTGTCATGGAATT